GTACAAAATTAGATAATACCAATTTAGGTCAACCAATTACCAAGCAATGCTTAATTTTGTTCAGTCGGTGGTGTAAAAAGGTCACATTAGCAATTCAAGCAAAAAATAAAAGCAAAACATGGTCAGGTCAAACTGTCGGAATAATGTTTGGTCCCAATTTTTTTTAGAAATTTAACTGGTAGTCCACTGTATGAATAATTTTTTGGTATTAAATAATTTTTTGGTATAATACGTCATATGTTAGTTTATTTTGCTATGAACTAGTGTCTTGCACCCACTAGTAAAAAATCTATTTAAAAAATGTTATCTGGTATCTGAATAATTTTTGGTTTGACTGTCCTATGTCGTTGACATTCTCTGATAACTGATGCCATTAGTTTACCAATGAAATTGGCTGCAGGTTAGGGTTTGCACTTAACTGGTTTGGGGTTAAAAATATCATGCACTTTTGCCAGCTGCCATTGAATTGGCAGACACAGATGAATAATAGTGTATGCTACCTAGGACGCTGGAGTGTGAAGTACTGGCTGGCGCACAAAAAAAAAAAAAAAAATCAATGGCATCTGCTCTTAGGTGCTCTAACAAGTGTGAAGTTGAAGCATGGTGTACTGCCATTGTGCTCAATTGAAATAAATCAGATATTCAACAGATCGAATGAGGAATTCAACTTTGAAACAAATTCTAAAAGAGGGTGGAAATGGCTGAGTAAAACTAAATTGGGCTTGTTCACAGCTTTTTCCTTTGACTAATAATGTAACAAAAGTGTAGAATGACCCCTTTCAAGTCTGTCCTGACTCTTTACTCTTTTCCACCCCAATAATACCGGAATTCCACTTGGCCAATCGGGATGTGCCAGCAGTGAGGCTACCTGCTGCCGTTGTCAGGGTAACAGAGCACAGGAGCGTTGGCAGAGTGTTTCATTTGGAGCTCTTCTAAAAGGCACTCAGCGCTGGGCCCCTGGAGTGTTCCTCCCTCACACAACACCAGCCATTATGCTAATTGAAGGGCACAGGAATAAAAATATGGAAGAGGGTGGGGAGCCATTTACTACCTTGTTAATTTTGTCCTTCACTCCAGAGACAAGCACTTTGGTGCTCCGTGGTACTTTGGTGTTAGTGAGAAGGATCCTCAGAATGGGGACCCTGGGGATACAATGAACCCAATAACACACTTAGAAAAATATGTTGGTTTTGTAATTTCACTGAGATAACTTTTTATATACACTGCCTGGACAAAAAAAGTCGCTATTTGGAGTAGAATAGGCTAAAACTTGTATATGTATATATAGAAAAGTTTTAGGGATATGCTGAAGTAGACTTTACAGAGTGCTTGAATATTGCATTGTCAATGTCAATACAAGATCTTGACCAAAAAATTATGCACCTCTTGATGGAAACATCACCACAACATTTATTTCCATCAAGAGTTGCATACATTTTTGGTCAAGATCTTGTACTGACAGAGTCCAGCACTCTGTAAAGTCTCCTCAAGCACATCCCAAAGACCTTCAACGGATTTAAGGAATGGACTCAGAGGTGCCAATTCAACTCCCTTCCCACCATTTCACAATTTGCATCTTCCTACATGGTTGTTTAAGAAAATAAAACTACACACTTCATCAATCAGGGTTAACAAATTGATGGCAAACATATAACATGCTAGAATCACAATAATAACTGCAATAATGATCCAGTCATAGACTCTATTTGTCTATTTATATCCAAACAGTGACCAGGCAGTGTACTTTATTGATAAATTGGAACAGTAACTTAAAAAATATATTGTGAAAATAGTTCAAATTTTACCAGCTCAGTGGAGTTATATTCCCAGCATGGTATCTTAAAAAGCCACCTATTATAGAAAGCATAAAGTGATATATTACAATACATCAAATGAAGAAGCATTATGAATGCATAAGACGGCAGTCATACCCCACGTGCTCACAGCATTATCCACCCCTGAAGGGTTACCATGGATGATCTTCTCGCCCATGAACGCCCACCTGTTAATCAGCTCCATCTCATCTTTACACCAACTACAACACAAACAGAACATTTTTACAACTAATATTAAAATTAATATTAAAAATAGGAGGAGGACAGGAATAACGGCAACTAAATGTGAATGAGAATGACCAGAAGAGCAATTCTAAATTTGACCCCTTTTTATCCTATATTTCAAACCACACATTTTCAAAAACCTGGATGGATTTTTGAGAGGACTTTAATATCTCTGCTCTGCTCCTTGATTGCTTAATTCATCATGTGATTTTAGATGATCAGATGTGTCTATTAAAAGGGTGTAGCCTTATCACTAACAATCTGGTCTGGTAACCAAAAGATTGCAGGTTGTTTAAGGGAGACTCTAACTGTAAAAAAGTAAATGAAACAATCCTTAAATACATTACCTACATATAAAAGCCCCATACTGCATTGTGATGAAGTGTTACCTGGCTGACTCCTGCTGTGGCGTAAGAGGAGACGATATGGTGCCTCGGGCAGACAGCAGAGCGGCAGACAGACAAACATTATAGGCGGCACTGGAGCCTAAACCAGCTCCTGTGGGCAACTCTGACCACACAGACACTGTGATACTGGCCAGAGCTCTGAAAAAAAACACAGCAAATATCAAAAGCCCAAGTTACAACAATGTCCATATGAAGGTTTCATATACAGTGCCCCTATTTTGCCATTTTAAAGTTTCCTAATTGGAGGTCTCCAACAAATAGGTTTAGATACACAAGTTCAAAAAACACTTTAATTTCATCATAATATACAATTATAGCTTCACCTCTTTCACAGTGTGTGAAATGGTTTGATCAAGGATTCAGTCTCTCTGAGCTTACTCTGCTCTGATTGGTCAGATGGCCAAGTCTGTTGTGATTGGTTAACGCTTACAGTGTCGTGTCCGAAAGGAAATAACCATTACCATAACTGAATTTCAGTTTTAGAGGCTTCCTTAGCACTTGTACACACAGCAGCGATGGCCTTGGTTTTTGACTTTCGCAGCAGAGAAAAGAGTGTTTTCTCATCATGTCGATAACACGAACTCTTCCAGGCCTGAGTCACAACTACAGTGTTTGAGGACGGGCTAAAGTTGATATTGTTCACAGGTAGCCAATGCAGACCATAGTTGAGTTATAGAATCAGAATCAGATTTATTCGCCATGTGTGCGCAAACACACAAGGTTCATGCTAATTTTTTAATAGGGCACTTGATAGTTGAACGGTGTTCTTACTCTGAAAAAACAGTCAGGTACATGTAGAGGAAAGCCAAGACTGCCATGCTTCTTGTGTCTGTGGAATCATCCGAAATGCCTGTGAATTCACGTAGTCTCTTCAAAAGATCTGCGTCAAGTTCCTTCAGGTCACCCTGCTCTGCTGATACAATGAACAGTCAAAGAAACACAGGCCAGAGATGATTGCTTTCCGCCACTGCTTTATTACAACTTCAATGAATATACAGGGGTAAATAATGACAGTTTTCATTTTTGGGTGAATTATGCTTTTATTTAAAAAAAAAAAAAAAAGTATCTTCCCTCACCTTTACACCCAGCCAGAAGAGGCTGCAGTGCTGTTATTTCCCAGGCCAAAAAAGTATCAATGTTGGGAAGGTTAATGCGCACTTCACCGGATGCTGTGGACTGCAGCCGCAGGTATGTGCGCAAATTCAAGCTCACAGCCAAAGCAACCTGTTTAAAATCAATACAGAACAGAAGAGGGAATTTAAATGGATAGTAAAATTGAAAATAAATAAATAAATAAACAAATAAATAAATAAAAGTTAAACATAAATAAGGTATTCTGAAGAATTTTGGTAACCAGACAGTTGATGGTAGCCATTGACTTCCATAGTAGGAAAAAAAACCTTTGGAAATCAATGGCTACCATCAACTGTATGGTTATCAACATTCTTCAAAATATCTTCTCTTGTGTTCAACAAAAGAAAGAAATTCAATACAGGTTTGGAACAACTTGAGGGTGAGTAAGTGATGACAAATTTTACAATTTAAGGTGAACTATCCCTTTGATTTCAGTTTTCCAAAAGTACATTGGATATAATTAACCATAATTAACCATCTCATCTACTGTGACTATGAACATTATTAACCCTAAAATCAATACTGAAACAGTTGTTATTAAATACCTTCTAAATAAATACCTATTGGTAAAAAACTAAATAAATAAAATCAATAAAAAAAAAACATGTCAGTAGCTGATACTCTCTACATAACATTAATGCTACAGATTAGAGCCAACTGACACCTTAGCACATCGTGTTAAAGGAATATATCAAACTTTAAGTTAGCATGCTATTTCATCTGTAATACCAACATTGTATGTTGTATTTTTAGTGATTTTTAATCAAAATGGAATAACTATAAGTAATAAAACTATACTACATAAAAATGACATATTACACATATAAAAGTATTCACACAAATGGAACAAATGGACTACTGAAAATGATTTTCAGGGCCATAAAATATCAGCTTTTTTTATACTAAACGAAATATCCTTTAAAACTATGATTTTTCTAAAACAAGACTTTAGTGAAGGAAAAGTGCAAACTCGTCAATTAAAAGACGTCAGTGTTGGGGTCTCTGATTTAAACACCCACCTTTCCGTGCACGACAGAATGCTCGCCGTGGAGAATCACTTTCCCTGGTGCTGAAACCAAGAACTCTCTTGTTTGCATCCTGATTTTTAGAGCTTGGTTAAACTCCTAAAGATATTTCCCAGAAAATGTTTCAGTATAGGCTGACCAAAGCAATAAAATTTTCCTAAAATCTCATATTTGTGATCATCCACCGAGTTTAATACAGCGCACTATACTACTTGTAGCAGATAATAATAACAGTTTAGCTAATATAATCGAGAAATCCTGAAGTAAAGTGTCATACACTGTAACGCATCGCTTCGGCTTGTCCATTGCCATACACGTGAACCTTCGCTGTAGTCTGACCCAATCAGGATTGAGCTCTCACATCGCTGACTCTAAACCCGCCTATCAGGATGAAGCTCTCACAGTCACCAACTCTCAAAACACCAATCGTAATTCGCACCCCCTCGTGTCATATGTTGCGTGAGGAACGCCCGTCTACGGGCAGCGGAAGTTGTCAAAACGTCAACAGTAAACACAGAAGCGCGTTTGGAAATGTTTTAGCGTTTACGATGTTATCCATCGTGACCAGGTCCACGGGTCTTCACCGTGCTCTTCGTTTAGGGACATGTATAAGCATAAAGCAGATGCAGGCTGTGTGTGGGGATAAAAAAAGGTAAAAGGACTGTTGTAGCTTTGAAGCCCATATCCCATGTGTTTCAGGCTAATCATGTAACCAATGACCTACAAGTGCATCAGCTTAGATACTTTGAATGTTACTAAAGTTGTCTTATTTTTCCAAGGTATGCCAGCTCATCTGAAGAAACCAGAAGAATTCCCAAGATATACACAAAAACTGGAGATAAAGGTTATTTTATATATGCTTATTTGTGCTAGCAGCCAATATTTTGGGATTTTGAAATGATCAGCAGAATATATTTACAAAAAAATTGGAAGTTATGTCACTGGGCACTAGAGTTGCATATCAAACTGAAAGTGTTAGGTTTGTGTAAACGACGTCTTGTTTTCAATGCCTCTCCTCATTAGGTTTTTCCAGTACCTTCACAGGTGAGAGGAGACCAAAGGAGGATCATATATTTGATGCTTTGGGAACAACAGATGAATTATCATCAGCTATTGGGTAATGTAGCGTAATGTGTGGGTCAAATGACTTTAAAATGCTTTCAATGAAACGTCTGATTCCCCTTTTCAGGTTAGCAAGAGAATTTTGCATTGACAGTGGCCATTCGTTCACAGATCAGCTGGACAAGGTCTGTTTCTCTCTGAAGTTTGATGAGAAGCAATAAATGATTTTATCTACAGTGGACCTGAAAGTATTCGGACGCCATTCTTTAAATGCATGAG